CACACACACACACACACACACACACACACACACACACACGTTAGTGACATTTATCAGTTTTAGGTTGTTTCATATACAATACAAAAAACAAACATGAAGACTGATGCCCTAAGGACAGTTATTATTGGTTGAAATAGTTGCTTTTGTCTTGAAGAAATGTTTGTTCTTTTTACTTAAGTAACATTTTGTACTAGTAATTTATTTTTTTCTGTTAAATATTTGTGAAGATCCTGAATTCATTTAAAAATTGCTCAACAGGAAGCAGTTGAAGGCTGAGTGACACTAGACTTTTATTATGACACATTTTAAAAGGTTGAAAATGGAAATTAGAATTTTTTCTAAACATTCTTTGTGACAACTTAGGTAAGCTGTGAGGAGCTGAACACATGTTAATGTTTTTCTTTTCTTTTTTTGGCGGCTAAATACAGGAAATATTTAAAAATTTGTTTCAAAATCAGGAAATRAAGTTTGGCCAGTGAGGGCACACAATTTTTTTTTAATTCCCCCCTACACCAGGACTGGAATATGACCGTTCCTGGAACATTTTACAGTCTTAAATAACAAGATTTGGGCTGAATAATTCAAGATGGCATCCAACATGTATGGCTAGCCTAGGCCCGGGGCGCGCCTCTTCTTCCCTGTTCGTCATGCTTATAACCACAAGCCGCCGGTCAGTGCTGACAAAGACAACCGCCGTCCTGCACGATCCGTGTCCTGTCCGTTTACCTTGTACAGTCCCCTGATGTTGTCCTCTCCGAACACACTGCTCAGAGTCTGGTAGATGCCGTTAGCTGCTCGTCGAAAGCTGTTCTGGTTGCTGGTCCTGGCGCTCCTGCCCGCCTCGGCTGCGTTCAGCAAAACAGCGGAAAGCACCACGGAAATCACGAAAAACCTGATTCCTCTCATATTAACAAAGTCCCCGGGATGTTAAGCTCCAATGGGTATTAAAATGTTTCAAGGAAAACACTCGTTAACTAGTTAACCTTGCAGAGAAAGATGAGAGACACCAACTATGGTGGTGGAGGTGATAGCCCGTGTTACATTCAAGGACATCACGGAAGCTCCTTTATCTCCCAATTTTTCACGTTTGTGAAATTCATAAATAAAAAATAAACTGCTTTTTAATGATGCAATTTATTTCCTGCATTATATTAAGGCTGAAATTTTTCATAAATGTAAAATTACTGAAAGTAAGCGCTTGAAAAACGAGATAGATTTTTTGCGGTGCTATTTACATTTCCCATGGTCTTTAAAGCTATCATTTACCTTCACTTGTATTTGAAGCAGATTAAGGTCATTTAAAGTTTGCTGCTGCCATCTTCTGGCCAAATGTGGTACTATTTACCTAATTGACAAGTCTTTTCTTTTCTCTTTTTTTAAAATATGTACTTATCCTTTTGAATTGGTAGAAAAAAGTAAATATCTAATTGTAAACATGAAAAGTGTCAAATGAGCACATAACACTTGATTTATGTTTTATTGACTGTGGTCGGTAGGAATAAACATACTTCTCTTTTTTTATGATAGAGACTCTCAAGTGTAAATGTGAGCACACAAATGCAATGTAAATAATTCACAACAAACCATCAATAATATGATACACTTTAAACATCTAATATGGACTCAGTGTTAGTTTCAGGTCACCTCAGCTACAAAAAAGTGTCTGTCAGCATCCAAGAGCAAAGATAAAGCAGAGCCTCCTGCCTATGAGATGTGACAGCATGTTCCAGTAAAGAAACTATTCACCACACCACTTTTACAGTAGCTTTCCCCTGAGTTCTTGTTATTTATATTAAGAACAGGTGTGAGGGTAGAAGGAAGCATGGCAAGACAGCAAATATTAGTAGGAGTTAAAATTTAAAATTCAAGAACAAATACATGTTGTATTGATAAAATCCTTTAATTTGTTATTTTTTTCTTTGAACAAATTCTAAGTAGTCTATCTTTGAAGAAATGATATGGTTAGCTCTCGGATAATCACCATTAAAATAAGTTCCTTGTCACGAGTGCCACTTAAAGCTTAAATTATGTAAATGCAGAAAATACCATATCAAAAATATATGTAGTTAATTATTAGTTCCTAATTTTTCATCGAAATAAAATCAAAACACGGTTGCTTATTTTATCACTCTGTTTCCAATGACTTTAGATTGTAAATCATTAGTTGTTTACGATATAAAAT